CAGAGAGACAGAGAGAGAGAGAGAGACAGAGAGACAGAGAGACAGAGAGAGAGAGAGAGAGAGAGCATATGGACGGGGGGGATTCCCCATACTGCAGTAGCATGAGGACTAAAATGATTAATGGCCCAATAATAGTTATTTAGTGTAAACTACAAGACTGTGTCCTTTCTTGAAATAAACCACTTACAATTCCATGTAAATGAAAATAAGACAATACCGTTTGTAAACCCAAGGTGTCACCCTCTAGATTTCTTGCATTTTGCTAAGTTTGCCTTTTATGTTATTTCAGAGCTAAAAAACATACTCTCTGCACTTCGAAAATAGTCAATGGAATTGCATGGAAGCCAGGGACTAGGAAGAATCTGACAGCATTTCTGTGTGTAAAAGAGCGCCTGGAAATCCAGAACAATGAAGGACCGACTGGAGGAGCTGCAGAAGACAATAGATGCCCAAGAGGAAAACAAGGATGACGACAACCCCTGCACGGATGAGGAGGAGGAGGATGATGTGCCCATCACTTCAGAGGCAGTGATCTTTGAGAAGGAGCCAGTGCTGGAAATCTTCCTCCGACAGGCACAACACATCCGAGGGGACATTTACCACCTGGAGGCGGAGGTCAACAAGTTCAGCCAGGAGCAGAAGACCCTGACGGCTGTTATGCGGAGCTTCAGCATGATGAAAAAGGAGAACAGTGTCACTTTGGACATCAAACTGCAGGCAGAGAGTATCTACAAGCAGCTGGACACCCTGCTCAAGCAAGTGAAGCAAACAGAAGCAAAGAGCAACCCGTCAGGAACTGCAACCCGCATCCAGCGTTCCCAGCATGCCATGCTCCTGCGCCACTTCCAGCAAGTCACATGTCAATATAATGAGACTCTAATGAGCAGGCAAGAAAAGTGCAAGACGTTCATCATCCGTCAACTGGAGATTTCTGGCCAGGAAACATCAGAGGAGGAAGTGGACGAGATGGTGGAGAAGGGCAGGTGGAAGGTTTTCAGCGAGAACTTCCTGGATGAGGCTAAGGTTACCCGTACGCAGCTCTGTGAAATAGAGAGGCGCCACAAGGAGCTCATTTGCCTGGAGAGCAGCATGAAGGACCTGCATGACCTCTTCATGGACATAGGCCTGTTGGTGCAGGAGCAGGGGGAACACATCGAGAACATCCAGGCCCAAGTGGAGAAGACACAAAACTTCACGGCGAGCATCAAGGAGAATATCAAAAAAGCAGCTAGGTACAAAAAGGAGAACCCCTTCAAGGGAATATGCTGCTTCTGTTGTCGCAATTGTGCGAACTGAGCTCAGCCAATCGCATGCGAAGGATTCAGTGTTTTTGGGCTCACTGCAGTAGCAATGCAGTAGTTAAGACAACACAACTTGCGCATAATGACTGCCCCCCCCCCCCAACACCAAAGAGCACACAAAGGACCTTCCCTTCCATCTGGCCAAGATAAAGGCCAAGGGCACGATGAACTTTAACAGCACATCACATCAGCAAGATGACTGATGTGGACTGAGAACCCTGTGGGGCACCAAACGTTCTCACCTGTTACATGAAACTATGGACATTTTTAAACATGAAATGAGGCCCATTATTCATAATTATAAGCACCGACCTTCACGGCATATTTATTTATAAAGTACACTGTAACTGTTAACTCTAAACATAACGATGAACCATTTATGTACAAAAAATTGTACTTTATTCATTCTAATAAATACAGTCAACATATAAGGCAGTTTGTGCATGATATGCTAGGATGCTATTTAACCTATTTTTTTATACATTAAATGCTGAAGAAAATCATTCCACCCAACAGGCTTTTTTAATGACATGCGACACAGTCGATGTCAGGATTAGTTCAAACACTTGCACATCTAATACTTACTATTGTAAAGGCTGTATTTGAACAATCTGACTTTAATTCACAGGCTGCCATTTCAACAGTTTTTACCCTTACTTCAGGGCAGCACACAGTAATAACAGACATAGCCCGAAAATGGTGTCATTCTCATGCTAAGGCATTTCCCTGCCATACCTGCAGGTCTGTCCGCTGTGCAGTGCTTGAGGCAGACACTTGTGTTAAGTGCCTACATTAGGCCAGGAGTGGGCTTCTCAGAAATGGTCTAACCCCATTAACCCAGCATGGGGGGGCTTTATAAGTGCCTAGCTGGACACCATGCCCAGCACGCGCCCATCAGCGGGAAGGATGGAGGCAGTATCGCTCAGACAAACTGGAGACGATTCTTTGATGAGGATGACGGGCAGAGGAAGAGTGTGTCTTGTGCCAAGTGCTTACATTATCCAGCTCAAGCTGGGCAG